ACCTCCATTGTGAGGTCTGTGCAGCACGTCAACGGCCACTACCGCACCTGCCTCGCAGGATCAGACTGGGCGGGGATTTCAACGACTTCATTGGAGTGGACCTCATTACCCTGGCCGACTACGTGGGCAACCAGCTGATCTACCTGAACGTGGTCGACCTGGCCTCGGCTTTCACGATGTGCGGCACGGTTGGGTCAAGGCGCCCACCAGCTGTGTTCGCTCGACTGCGGCAGATTTGGACCACGCCTGTCGGCGCGCCTCAACGCGTCATATTTGATGGAGGAGGCGAGTGCGAGCGAGAGTTCTCCAAGGAGCTGGAGGACATGGGTTGCCGCATGATGACCACCTCTGCGGCTACGCCGCAGCAGAATGCCACCGTGGAGCGACATGGAGGTATGTGGAAGGTGCACGCGAGGAAGCTGATCGACCAGTTCAGCATCAGGTTCGACCAGCCCGAGATCGCCCACAAGGCCCAGTGGCTGATCGCCTCCGTGTGCTGGGCCATGAACAGCCAGGTCAATTCCACGAGCTACTCGCCGTCGCAGTGGGTGCTCGGGCGAGGCCCGGTCTCGTGCAGATGGAGCTCGGCACGCCAGCGACGTCTACCAGACTGGCGACCAGGTGTACTACTGGAGGGGCAACGGTAAGCCCAAGCGAGAATGGGCTTTGCAGTGGCACGGGCCCGGCGTCATCATCGGGTTCGAAGGCGCCCCGAACGTCTGGGTCAGCCACCGCTCCGCGACCGCGAAGGTCAACCGTGGACACCCTCGCCACGCCGCGGCATCGCAGCTCGCGCCGCGGGGACAAATGCTGAACGCGCTGCGCGGCAGCCAGCCGCCCGGGCCACCGCCGGGCGCCCCGCCAGGGACCTCAGGGCCCGCACCTCCCCCCGATCTTGGAGGAGGCGGCGGTGGCGCAGGCGGTGGGCCCCCGCCGCCTGGCCACGCTGAAGGACGTGATGGCCCTGCACCGCCACGAGATCACGAGGGCACCTTCCTCGACCTCTCGGGCCCTACACGTCAGGAGCGACCCCGCAGCGAAGGGCGGCCTCCACCACCAGCGCTACCAGCGCCAGTTCAGCAGCCAGCCATCCAGGCGCACAACTTCGGAAACGTCGAGAATACCGCAGCGAACCAGCGCGCCCATGAGCACGCCGAATGGCTGGCACGCAAACAAGGAGACGGTGATTTCAGAAGCAGTGGGGGAGCTAGCGGCACTTCAGGAGCAGCCCCACCGCCTTCGGGAGGAGACGTGGTGCAGCCGCTGCCGGCGGCGCCGCCCCCTGCAGCGCCCGCCATGGACTCAGGCGCTGCTGCCACCCCTGCCGCTGCTGATCACCCTGCTGCCCCTGCCGCCGCAGATTTTCATCCACATCCTGAACCCGCACCTCAGGGCCCGGTCGACGACCCTGAGAACGACGGGGAGTTTGACAGGTCCGGATCGGACATGATTCGGGAATTGCAAAGGGCCGCGGAGGAGCAGTCTCGACAGGAGACAGTGGCAAGGCGCCCACTGCACATCGAGAACCAGCGCGGCACGGAGGCACAGCGACAAGTTCAACAATAATCCGAACCGCATTCTCTTCGACGCGACCGCGAGCCCGACCCGCGCGAGCGCGCAGCCAAGCGCAAGGATATGTTGGACGATTTGCCCAAGTGCTTCAAGAGGCCGAAGGGCGCGAACAAGGTCGACCTCTACTTGGACAACTACTTCCAGAAGCACGCGACGAGCTCTACGCAAGCACGCGACTCCGCGAGGCACTGTCACGGGCAGCGCGACCGCCATGGAGAACATGGACTGGACGCCTCCATGAAGACCGAGCGGTCCAAGTGGACGGCGTTCGGCGCCTACAAGTAGCCCGCCCAGGGAGCTGAAGGAGCTCCTGCGGCGCAACCCTGGCGTCCGCCCTGTGGGCGCGCGCTGGGTGCTGACCAGCAATGGCCAGATCTCTATGAAGGCCCGTCTGGTCGCGCAGGGCTGCCGGGAGGACAATCGCAGATCAGGGCGGGCGCGCCTGCGGGATCCAGGGACGCGCTGTACCTTGCCCTGGCCGCCGCGGCCCAGAAGGACTGGGACATCTCGTCCTGCGGCGCAATGGCGGCCTACCTGCAGTCGGGGAACATCGAGAGGCTGTTGCTCCTGCGCATGCCGGCCAAGAATCCGCCGCCGGGGACGCAGCCTGGCGAGATCGCGATGGCCACAGGCGCGATCTACGAGACGCGCGACGCCAGGAGGCAGTGGTACCTCTACGCCCAGAGGGTCTTCGCCGAACGCGGCCTCGTCGAGAGCAAGCTCGAGAAAGGCCTCTATTATTTCTACGACGAAGGTGGGCTCGCCGCGGTTATCCATTCCTACGTGGACGACTTCCTGATCGCCCAGCGTAACAACTCCACCGAGTGGAAGTCCACTATTGCATCGCTGGGAAAGAAGCCACACCTTGAGCAGGTCGACGGGGTCATCCAGCACTGTGGACGTACAATCACCAAGCTGGATGGCGAGTTTCGGGTCACCCAGGCCACCGCCGCCTCGCAGGTGGATTACATCGACCTGAAGGCCCCGAAGGGCCGCCATGCCGAGGATCGGCTCACCGCCACCGAGGTGGCGAGCTGCTGCCACACGCTCGGGCAGCTGCTATGGTTAGCAATCCAGACCCCGGTGGACATCGCCTGCCCGGTGAGCTTTGCAGCCCGCCGCACCAACGTCGCCACCGTGGCCGACGCAAGGACCCTGAACAAGACAGTCGCCTACGTGCACTCGACCGCGAACTTCGCGATCGTGCTGAAGCGCGGGCTCGTCGATCTGATGGCGGCCACCACCGTGTGCTTCAGCGACGCTGCGTTCGCCAACGTGGACGGGGTCAAGAGCCTGTGGGGCATGGTGATGGGGCTCACTCACCGCCCGCGCGATGTCGTCGGCGGCCGCTACGACCTTTGCCTACCCGTGGCCTGGCACTCGGGCACAGTCAAGAGGTCGGTGAAGTCGACCCTCGCTGCCGAGGGCTACGCGACCCTCGAGGGATCGGAGACCAACATCTGGTTCCGCCAGCTGCTGACCGAGGCCTACAACCCCAAGGTGGCGCTCAAGCAAGTCGACGTCATCGCCGACAAGCGCCCTGGGGAGATCTACAGCGACAGCAAGGGTCTCGTGAAGCACATCGCTTCCGACGTGGGCCAGACTACCGACAAGCGATTCCGCATCGTCGCCTCCATGATCAAGGAGGCTGTGCACCCCAATAGTGCACTCATGCGCAGCTGGATCCCGACCTGGTCCATGGTCGCGGACGCCTTGACCAAGGCGATGGAAGCCGGCGCCCTGCTGGCCTTCTTCGGGGTACGCAAGCACAGCTACGGGACCCGGCAGCCTCATGCCGCCATGCTCGCCTTAGTCTTGTTTACCTGCCTCGGCAAGGTCAAGGGGCAGCCTACGCCTGCGCCGACGGTGCCGGACTACAGTTTCTACATCTGCCTGCTGACGTTCACGCTGCTCCTCGGCATGACTATCGCTGTCGGCATTTTCGCGACGCTCTGGACGATCGCGAGGCAGAAAATCCCAGCTACAATCCCCGAGGATCGTGATTGCGACGGCGACATCACGATGCACCCTTCGGATGGACACAGCAGCGCGCAGGCGTCGAGTTCATCGGCATCAGCTTCAGGCATCTCTTGCAGACAACACCCATCGCAGCCGCCGATATCAGCACCACCGCCGCCACTGCTGCCGCCAGAACCACCGCCTGCCAGCGCACCACATACCGCAACATCAGCACGATCGAGGTCAGCGAGATCTCAGAGTTCGGGTTCAGCCCCTACCTCACCAAGCATAGTCACCGCATCGAGGTCATCGAATCCAGTATCTGCGAGTTTGGTTTCGTGGAACTGTTCCTCGCCTACGGTGCCGTTGAACGAGACGATCGACTGTGTGACCGCCGCCCCCCGCCATGATTTCAGCATCGGGCATAACCCGCATAGCGTCTACATTAACTGCAACACATGTAAGAAGTACTCGCCATGGCTTCTCCGGTTCTACAGGCACAGCAGTCCCGATTGCACGAACTTCCCCGAAGGCGCGATGAATGATCTCATGGGGCATTGGAGGAGGCTCGCCGGCAGACGCTGCTGGCGCGGACCTGACCTGATGGACAAACCGACGAAGCCCAAGAAGGAAATATGAATCCCGCTTGGTGTCCGGACGGCAGGTTGGCCTGCCGAACCAGCCAACATTCTGTTGTTGTTGATACAGACGGTCGCCTATTGCGACCCCACCTACGTAAGTCCGCATTGCTGCTCAGTTTTCTCACCTGGCTATTTATACGTAAGGTCGCATTGCTGCTCAGTTTTCTCACCTGGCTATTTGTACGAAAGTCCGCATTGCTGGTTTGTTTTCACACCCGGCTAGAAATTTATGTAAGTCAGCATTGCTGCTCTGTTTTCACATCCAGCTAAAGATTCACAAGTGAGTCCGCATTTAGAACAGCTTCGCTCAGTGTGCACAAGTTTTGTTTCAAAGATGTGATGACGATCGCACCCGTTCAGATATGTTTCTGGCTTTGTCGCTTCGCGATCGAAGCCTTGCTATTGCTAGCCTTGTTTCGTTTTGATTATAGCGCCGGCGGCGCTGAGAGCTGAGAGTGCCCTGCAGGTCGCGTGTAACGCATCCGCTTAAGTGCCCAAGGGGCTGCCTGCTATGCAAGCCGTGTCGAGCCGTTTGCCCGCCTTCTGCCAGCGCGCCTGGCACTCCGCTCGATGAAGAGCCAGGCTTATATGCCTGGCTGTTCTGGCGCCTCACCTTCGTGCGCCCGCGCACCGTGCAGGAGGAGTGTGATTCCAGAAGGCCCGCTGCTCTCCTCACCCGCTCTCTGCCGCCGCTCATTCTTGCTCTAAATATTTTCCAGGGCCCTTGGCTAATTGAGCTACGATTCCGCTCTGCGAGCGCGTTAGAAACGATAGATCCGCGATCTTCTATATCATATACTCTTCCTCTTCCTCCTAGTGCCTCCGCAGGGGCCAGCTGCAGTTCGTCACAATCTCCTTCTTGGCCGTCCTCCAGCTCGCCGCAGTGGCGCCGTGGCCCGCCGGCGTCTCCCTTCACCGCTGCGAGAGAGGCCCCCCTCATGCCTTGCAGCGCTGATGCGTGCGAGGTCAGTCAAGACGCTTGAAGATGTAGCAGTTCGGGTTCGGAAGGAGCTCGCTGTTTCCCGGGTCCTTACATGTTTGTTTCTCCAGCGTTCCTCTTTGTTACGCGTGGTGATTTGGGGGCTAAAAACGCTGGGTTCCTTTTGGTTTCCAGTTCCAAGAATCGCATGAGGACGACTTGGACTTGGCAGAAGAAGGTACGGACGACGGGAATGACGAGTAGTAGAAACACAAAGTGGCCAACAGAGCGTAAGACAATAAAGGGGCAGGAAGGATGACGAGAAGGAGGATCAGGACGAGGTGGAGAGAGGCGTGAAGCAACAGGAGGATTAACAAACTACATATAAACAAATGTTCGGAGGTCCGGGCGGATTTCTTTCGTCGGCGCTGGAGCCCCGAGGAGGCGCGCTCTGCGCGCCAGGGAACGGGTTCCAGCGCAATCGAAGATACCCTTGCGGACCTCTGAGCATGTATGTTTAGTTGTGCTACTTGTTTTAAAGAAGCAGGAGAGCCAGGGCGTTTTGTCTTTTGGTGAATAGTGGGCGATCGTCATCACCTAAGCACAGTGAGCCTGGCATGCAAGCGGTCTGCAAACGAAGTTGTTGCCAAACGTGCACGCAATCGCAGATTCATGGTGTGGCGCGTGCGGGGCGTATGAGCGGCCAGCCTGGATGATCTAGGATGATCTAGCACGCTGTTGTTGCTCTTCAGCGGTGGCACCATCGCCTGCAATTGGTAACGCGCCACCGATATCCCACAACTCTCATTAGCTTGCTACACTCATCTTCAATTACGCGTGATTGGGTGTCGCTATATCAGGAAAGTTTGCCGCTGATGTTTGGAATTGGTGACAGTCATTGCTTTATCATGCCGTAGCGCAGTATTTTGCGATGCAGCATTTGCGCCGCAGCGGGTTTACAATCGACAACTCTACGTTACACGATGGTGCTATTAAGAGATATAGGCGAGGGCGCCAGTGGGTGAGACACACGAGGGAAGGTCAGAACATATCCCAGCCAAGAAAGGGAAGTGGCCAGATGTGGAACAGAGCAGCTGTTACATGGACGTCGGCGCAGAAGTTGAACGAGCAGGAATGCTGATGGACCGACGTGAAACGGAGACCCCCCCTACCAGGAAATCGATTTCGGTCTCGGGTTCGTGACGTGCGTGCCGTGCGTGCGTGCGGGCGAGGCGAAGCTGCGTAGGCGGGCGAGAGGAGATCCTCCTGTGGCTGGGCCGCGGCCGGACCAAATGTTTCTCCTCCGGTGTCCCGCCGGTGTCCCGCGGCGGCCGGTGGCGCGCGGTGTCCCGCCGGTGTCCCGCTGGTGTCCCGAAATCCTCCTGTGGCTGGGCCGCGGAGGAGTTTGCCCATTGCTGCCCATTGCCCATTGCTGCACCCCCTTCTCCCCTCAACCTCCTTGTCACCCTCAGGGTGGTCGTATAGGTATGTATAGATTCCCACTGGTTCCAGTCCGGGTCATCATTGATCATCTGGACGAGCCTTTACTTTCAATGAGTTGGTTCGCAGGCCGAGCGCAGCGACCGCGGCGCGACGTGGTGGCACAAAGAGGCGAAGCAGAGGGAGACTGCGCAGCAGGCACGAGCTGGATTCCTGCTTGCAGCGTCGCCGCTTCGGTCGAACAGCATTCTCGAACAATTACCTGGGTCACCCTGAGGGGCGCGAAGATGACCGCGCTTTGTGCGTCGCAGCCGGGGCCGCCGATTTGGCATTCTGCAGGCGGCGGTGCAAGGGCGCGGAGATGACCACGAGCCGCGCATCGCGGGGCGCGGGGTGCCAAGTTCGACGACCTAAGGAATCGCGTCTGGCTATTCGACTTGTGACCGTCGTCGGGGTACTGTCAGCCGCAGATATGATCCCTGATGGGGCTGCCCGCTTCCGCCGCAAGGGTGCCCGCGCGGTGCCAGCTCGGAGTGTTCCTGGAGCATTCCCGCATGCCCGCTCGAGGATGGCATCCCCCCTCCCCCTCCACTCCTGGCCACTCCTTGGCGGCACGCACAGGGGGGTGGCGCGGGTGGGGCGGCCTTCTAAGAAGGCGGGGGGCTTCTTAAGTAGGAGCAGGGGCCTTCCAGAGGCTCTCCTGGCTTCTAATGAAGCCTTCTTGGGAGCATCCGGGCCAATCTATGAAGGCCGCTGCCTTCTACGAAGCTCCTCGCCTTCTTAGAGAGCGATCCCCCTCGCGCATCTTTTGTGTGTGTCCAATTTCCCCATCTGTGCTATTCGGGTGCTGGCTGGGGTAATTGTGAGTTGAGGCGAAGTGAAAGGGAGATACGGTAGCATGCCTCAAGTGTTCTCGGCACTCTGGCGCTTTCCCAAAGCCCTCCTTCAGAGGGCCTGAGTTCCGAAAGGAGCTTTTGGCGCCCCTCGTCCTCCATCCTCCCTTCTCCCCCAAACAAGCGGCTCTCCTGACGATCTGCTGTTTTCAATCCCGGCGCAGTTTCCTCGGATTTGTCTTGGTGGCCGTTTCCAGCCCCCGGGGCAAACACACATGGATCCGGGATTGTTGCAATTGACAGGGGTCGCGTGGGCCCAGGACTGGAAGACATCGTACCAGAGCGTTCTGAAACGCTGTCAGAGCGTTCTGGAACGCTCTGGAACGGCCGCGGGGCCCGGTACCTGATCCAGAACCGCTGGATCTCAGAGATCCCCGATGCAGGCCAGTCTGATTTCGTCCCGGTCATGTAAGGGGTCGAGATTTTTGTGACCGCGGATTGAAAAGGACACCTCGTCGGACGTGTGGGCTCTGCACGCGGATGCCAGCTCTCCGGCGCGGCGGTCAATGATTTGGTTGGCTTCGTTTGACGGGGCATTCCCTCAGGAGGAGGAGGAGGAGGACGACGAGGAGGAGATGGGACGAGGAGTAGTAAGGGGAGAGGAGGGAAAAGGAGGTTCGGCTCGGTCCTCCTCGAAGGCGCGAGTCACAGCTCACATCAACTGGGCGGGTGCCACTCCCAAGGGGAGCGACAGCCGAGGTTAGCTCCGAAGGGCCACAAGCTGGCCTCAGAACGTGTGCATGAAACGTGCACAACATATGGCAGACATGAGGCCATGCTGAAAGCTCGGCTGAACCTAGATCTCCCTGCTCCTCCCGCACACCATCACGCGCACGGCCAGCTGGTCGTACACGGCGTGCATGGCCCACGAATGTGGGCGCGGGCGCGGCGGGGACGGGAAGAAACAAACCGAGAGGGGAAAAGGAGAGGCCAGGCGAAGGACACTGTGCAGAAACCAGATCTTCGTTATTTCCCCCCGCCAGGCCCAGACAAGCGTGACGCACGAGAAGGATTACTAGCCGACCGCTCTGCGGTTGATCGGGAGTTTCTGTATATAGAGAAGGGGCGTGCGCCTGTGTTCGAAGACGAAGATGAGAATGAGCGGGCGGCGGTGGTGCGGTGGGTGACGATCAGGAGGATGAGGATCAGGGGTGCGAGGCTCACGAGCTGGAGGTCCCTGGAGGTCATCCGTCCTCCTCCTCCTCCACATTCTCGCTCGCTCTCTGCTCCTCCTCCTCCTTCTCCTCCAAAGCTGCCATTTCGCCCACCGAGCAATTCAGGCAGCTCTCTCCAGATCCGCTTCCAACCCCACAGCTCACGAGGAGTCATGTGGTCGCAATGAGTGCGCTGGTCTGTTTGGTGGCGAGATCAACCGCGTGCTTATCCCTCGGGCAATTCATCCCGTTGTCGTGCTGCCAGGACAGACTGGTGGAGATCGCAGGGGAGTGCAACAACTTCGACGTGACAACCTTCACGGAGAATCAGAGACGCAGGCATGTGATAGAGGGGACAGCAGAGGCAGCAGACTACGTAGAAGCAGAAACAACTCCGAAAAAACTACAACGGGGAGCAGGCCAACAGGTCCGACTACTAGCTGAGAAGAATAACATGACCATCACGAACACGCGAGGAACCTGGAGGCCGAACTTCTTCGGGGACGGAGGCGTCTCGAGCATAGATTACATCTCGGCACCCTGGAGATTGTGTTCAAGCTGGAGATCGAGAGGCCCGCCGATGAGACTGTGCAGCAGACTACAAGAGATCCCGAGCGGGACACAAAAGGACAATCTACCAGGCCAGGCTGTATTTCATCTACGAACGGGATTGGAAAGTGGACGAGAACTGCGCCCACGTAGAAGGGACAAAGATGCGCCGACGAAGAAGGTCACCCGCAACATCGGATTCGTTCAGCAGCTCAACCATACCATCGCGGCACCCACGATGAAGACGCACGACAAGGACATAGACGAGTACCTCACAGAGCTGAAAAATAATGAAGGAGACATCGCACAGACAAGCTGCAGAGTATGGAGTACGAGGCACAGTATGTGCTGCACTACGTGAGGATCGAGCGAAGTTACTGACACAACGAAGTGACCTACGAGAGGCATCGCATGATACAGTACGAGACACACAATTATCATATGACCAAGTAACAACACGAGTGCTGGAATAACTATGGCAAACATGGGGACAGAGGGTTCAGGCACCAGTGGGATTTTTATCCAGACTCATAGCAAGACGCAGACATGGACCACGAAAAAGAGATTCCTGGGCAGCTACTACCTCACAACCGAGGATACAGGTGTGGACCGTTTTTCGGAGCCGACCTGGTAGTGAAGGGGGGGCGCTAGGGGAGAATATTGCCCCACGGGCGTCACCTGCCTGGAGTGCTTCGGTAGGCGTAAGACCGAGGAGAAAGTACTGGAACACAATTCGCACGAACTTGGGTACATATCAAGGAGATTCCAGAGGACCAAGTTCGAGCAGACGAATTTTGCTTCGATATGCCCGATCTGCAACCATTTCGATCAACAAGAGGACCGTGCCCGTCTACGCCCGCACACGCAACGACCGAGGACAAGCCGAAATCACGGGCACGTTCGACACGGCACCGACGCGGTCAGGGTCGAAAGAGGGAGCCGAGGCCCAACCGAAAAGACGGGACAACAAGAAGGGATGCCAGGACGAAGAGAGCAGGAACCGTTTGCGGCAGTTGACGAAGGACTTGATCGTGACCAACGACACCACCGGGCTGAAGCCGACCGTGGTCGAAACGTGGGAGGTGGACGCGGACTCGCTGCTGACCGCCGCGGGCTGGTCACAGGGGGCGAACTGCAACAAGGGCGCGCAGGCCCTCAAGACGAAGGCCGAGACCGACGACAACGTGGACCTCGGCTACCTGGGGCGGCGGCACTTCGTCGCACACAGCAAGGCGATGAAGAAGCTAGGCCAGGACACGACGGGCGAGGCGCAGAAGGCGCAGGAGCAGCACTGCAAGAAAGTGGCGAATCAGCCAGACATCGAGAGGCTCCGACGCCGCGATCAGGGCCAAGAAGAATAAGGACAGGATTGCGCAAGGGAAGGAGAGAGCTCGGGACCAACACATGACCCACCCCGAGTGCTTGCAGATCAGGAACACCCCCGTGAAGGAGCGGATGGCGCAGGAGGCCAATAGGCAGCACGGGGCTGCGCCGAGGGGGGGCTGCGAGAGGGGCATAGGACGCAGGGTGAAGTGACGGTAGAGATGGGCGGAGTAGAAATTTTGCCAGGCGGCGCAGCCCCCCCCCCTTACTTTTTTTTTCTTGAAACAAGCGCCACTTGCCGAGTTATGGCGGCCTCGGACAGGCCCCAGTTTCCCAGTCCTCGCCCGAACGCTGTACCTGAACTGCATTTTCCGTGCCCTTCCCTGCATCAGTACTTAATTCACCGCCCACCCCGAGCCGAAGCCCGAAGGGAGGGGGGCGGACGGGGGGCTGACAAGGGCAATGGCCGAGGGAGAAGGACAGGTGGCCGCGAGACAGTCGGAACAGATGCCGCGCCGCCTGGAGCCCCCCGCGCGGGGGCGAAGTGCGGTTGGGCCCGTTCGTTTTGATGGCGACTGCAGGCCCTCTAGCGAAGTGAAGGATTGCAATGCAATCTCAGCCAGATTCCGATTGCGACTAGGGAACGAAGTGGGGGCCCAGTGTAGTCGGCTAAGCGAGGATCCGAGGCTGGTCAAGGTCAAGGTCCTCCTCCTCCTCGTCCTCCTCCCCTCTCTTCCCGTTCCCCTCCTCCCTCCTCCGTCCTCCTGCGTCTTAGCCGCCGTCGCGGCTCGAGGAATTTGTGGGTGCTGTGCCGGGCGCGGCGAGATTCTTCGCGCGGGGCGGCCGCCATGCGCGCTCGCCCGCTCGGCAGCAGGGCCAGCCGCGCAGCGAGTCTACCGCGGCTCGCAGCGAGGACCAAGCGCGGCATCGAAGGCTACGCAGAGAGAGGAGCCGTGCGAGAACACTCTTCCAGGTGGCAGCGGCAGCTGACTTGCTCCAGCAACAACGCAGTCGGCAGCCAGATCGCCAGATGACGAAAGGTCGTTCCCGAGGTGAATGCAGGGGGCGTTTTGATCGCGAGCAGCATGGCGATTGCATAATTTTATGCCCCCCCGACTTGCAGAACAGTGGCTTTTTCCGTGATTGCTAGTGGGTCACGCACTGCCACTTGGACGCGCAGCGGTTAGGGCCCCCGCCCTCCTGAAAAGGATGGATGCAATCACGCGTGTGCTTTGCAAAGCAAAGGACCTCAGCAAAAACGTGTCCCTTGCCCTTCGCC